ATTTATTTATTATTTATTTATTTATTTATTTATTTATTTATTTATTTATTTATTATTTAGACAGGGTCTCATATCCTAGGCCAACTTTCAACTTTCTGTGTAGCCATGAATGCTTTTGCATTTCTAATCCTCTTACATCCACCTCCTAAGTGCTGAGATTACAGGCTTGCATCACCATGCCTCGCTAATATAGGTCTGGGGATCGAAGTCAGGACACAGTGTATGCAATGTCTCCAGCCCACTTCCCCATGTTTTGTCTGTGAACACAGGGATGATGAGTTTTTACTTTCCAATGGTTGCATCATTTGCTAAAAGGAGTCCTCCTCAGTCTGTTGGGAACATTCACTTAAATGCCTGATGTAACTCTTCGTTCAAGCAGGTATCTCACTAATATGAATGTAATTCCCTTCATATCCCTAAAATTAAGTAAGTAAAACTTGGAAATATTTATCCACCTCCCCCAACCTCCATCATTGCCACGGAATACAATTAATACTGACTACGCCGAGTTATAACAGCGGAAGAGATACTGAAGCCTTCTTTGCCAGTCATTAATGTTTACCAAACCTAAGCACAGTGGCATCACTGCACTAGTAAACTAGGGCATTTATCAAGATATATTTGATACTACTTGTCTTGCACAACTAATCAGGGTGAATGGAATGATTTTAATGAGATTTAGTCTTCTAGATTGTAGTTGTCCTGCGGGGGGTGGGGGTGGGGGTTGGGGTAATAAAAAATAAGGTTTCCAGTATAACACAAAGAAAACAATAAGAAAATTACATCCTACCTACTTCTTTATCACTGTACTTTTATGAGGTTGGTGCAGTCTGGAATGTTCTCGGTAATGTCTAGAGGACTAAATCCTAGGAGACAGAAAATGACGGGGTGGACCAGTACCCCGCAGCCTCCCTCTGTCACTGGAATGTCAGCTCTTTGGCAAAGCTGCCCCTGCTCCACAGCGTAGACTACACCTAAATGCTTAGATGGGGAGATAGCTTTGGATGAATGTGATTGCACAAGCTCTTGTCCTCCGATTTGCCAATGGCACCCAGGGAGGCATCACTTTTTTGCATGGAGTTTTTGTACCATTCCTGTTTGCACCCGGGGGGCAAGGCAGGTTAATAAGGCCAAGAGGAGGGTTGGCCGTGGGAGGGCATAATAACTGGGAGGACTTCACAGCTTCAACCTGGGGGGAAAGGGAGGAGGGCTGAGGATGGAGGGTGTTGTCTCCTGCTTCTGCCTATGTGTTAAGTGGCAGGAGAAATTTTGAAAGCTGCTGTGAGGAGGAGCTAGTCGCTGGGTATGGGGTGCTTTGTACCTCTCTCTCTCCACTTGTAGGAAACCCTCTTTCCATCCACAGGTAATTGGAGTGGAAGGAGGGAGGCTGGTCAGGGAAGAGGGAAAGCCATTCTGTCGCTCCTCCTCCTGTAGCTTATCACTGGCCTCCTGACTCTCTTCCAAAGCCAGCTCAGCTGTGCCAAGGTGGCCGCAGAACATCCTGACAAGGGCCAGCACCTGCCTAGCCGCCCTGTGCATCCCAGGCGGCCACATTAGCTGCTCACCACCCCTGGCCAGTAGGACCGCTTCTGATGGCTGTGGCCTCGGCTGTCCCAGGGAGCACCTTCTCTAAGCAGCTCCTTTTCGCTCTCCTGGTGAGTAACATGCAAAGGATTAGGCATGCGCCGACTGGCTTCTCCTTGCCAGTTTGGGCTTGAAACAGGGACAAAGGAAGAAGGAAAGGCAGGGAGGACAGACAGAGGAAAATAAAAGCTGATCTGTGAAAACTTCAGGGAAGAGCTGAGAGGTTTGTGCCGCAGGAGGGGAGGAGTTAGCTTACCCTTCAAGAGCCCATGCCAAAACATTAACATCCTTCAAGGGAATCTCTTGTTCAGTCTTGCTGTGGTATTTTTTTTTTTTTCCTGAGGAGAAGAGGAATAGATTGACTTTAGTTTTTGTTTTTGGGGGGCTTTTTTTTTTTTTTTTGGCACTTGACCCAGCTACCAGTCACTTACAAAGCTCATGTGTTTAACATGCTGTTCCATTGAGCAGAGAGAAGAGAAAATGATTCTGGATGAAGATATGAATTACCCAAGACTTTCTTCATTTACTCAGGAAGATCTAAAAGATGGACAGAACTTTCAGTGTGAGGAACCAGTGTAGCTCAACAAAAGGAATGGGATTACTTGGAGTTGCCATGAGCTTGCCTCCCACTTGGTTTTTAACAGCTTCTTGTTTATAAGATGCTGTTTGTTTTTCCTTTGATGGGAAGAGTTTTTCATATCTATCCAAAAATCCAGAGTTGTGACTTTCTTGGTTTTAAAAAAACTTTTTATTTTACCAAAGTATTTGAGTTATATTTTCAGAATTTGAAGATTTTTGTGAATGGGCACAACTATTTTCTCCATATAAATAATGCTTAATGTAGGATTGATGGTCGACCTATTATCCTTTGGATGAGATCTGGTCTTGAGGAGAACTCAGAGACCACTTGGAGTTAGTATGGAGTAAAAATGAGTTTAGACCTAGATTTATCTCGCTTTTGGTCCCTGCCCTGCCCAATAGCCTTTGGTTCATCCTGTGCTCTTTCATCCTTGATCACCATACTGACTAGGAAGGTCACAACTCCTTTGAAGTCACTTAACTCCTGAGTTAAGAGGAGACCGTGGGGCTGCGGATGCTGGAAGCTTCCATTGTGTCTGCCTACAGAAGGGTCATTCCTGGGGTGGGGTCTAGGACAGGGAGGAAAGAACATGAGAACAGGACTGAGAATGTCAATACATCATATGAAAATGTATACACCTATATACATATAAGCGTATGTATATGTATATAGGTGTGTGTATATATGAATCTATTTTGAATTACAATATGATTTCCACTATACACATCTAGACACAACTAATAGAAGTTTTGCCATCAGAAAATTCTTGAAATATATATTAGTGCATTTCTTGGCATTAAGGATGAAGATATTTTTACAAAGTCAAATAAGCAAGAATATCTTATGTTTTTATAAGTGGTTATTTAAATGAAAGCTGCATGCAAATGTGACCTATAAAAATCCAGATTTTCACATTATATGCCTAACAGATTTATAAAATTACAGTCTATTTTAGGGTACTACAATATATCCAGTAGACTTGAATTAGAAAAGATGCAGATGTCTAATATGAATGCTAATGCCCTTTCTTTCCTCTGTTCCATAACTCCAGAAATATGTCTGGAGAAAATCTGATCACAAAATTGACCTGAGTGATTCTGGGAAATATAACTGTGATCTATTTTTTAATAATCAGCATGAAGTTATTTTGATAAAGAGAAAACAAATAAGCGTAAAGTACCAAAAATATTTTGAACTTATAGCATTCTTTGAGCTAATAATTTTTATTTTCAGATGGTTTATCTTATTTGAAATACCTAACTTAAAAAAATAGTTATGACTTGAATACTGTTTAAAATTTTTGCCTACTGAACACTAAATTTTAAAGTGCATTTCTTTTTAGGCTAATTGTGTGATTTGAAAACACAGATTTTGAAGTTGAGTTTTTGACAAGTCAGTTTGAAAAGTGACTTAACAACAGTGGATATCCATAGGCTTTTTTTTTTCTTTTTTTTTGAGACAAGATCTCACTATATAGCTCTGGCTGACCTGGAACTTACTATGTAAACCAGAACTCACAGAGACTCGCCTCCTGAGTGCTGGGATTCAAAGTGTGTGTCACCATGCTCTGCAATAAGCATTTATTTTATGATGCTAAAAACAGCTTCCAATATCTTCTCAGTTCCTCAGCAGTACCCTCAAATAATTCAAGTGGTGATTGAGCAATTAGTGCAAGTATGTTGCTACTGAATCCTAGAATTAGGTACTTTCTTCAGGCTAAAGAATCCGTGACATTTATGGATAGTGTTGGTGGCAATAAACTGCATAAAGTCAATGGATTGTAGTATATTTTGTAGTAATTATACAACAATGGTGTAGATCCTGGGAACTGTTCACATCAAGTGACTGGTTTTTCTAAAGCCAGTTTCCTTTGCTGATCACTTTCTAAACTGAACTGGTTGTGAATGGAAAGATTAAGTTTCATTTGTTTCCAAAACTGGTAATAGTTTTATCAATAAGACAAAACTTTGATGTGTAAAGGATGTGATCAAATGTAATTCTTGATTTTGTTCTTTTTGAGGTTCTGGTATTATTTTGTGATGCTTGTCGGAAAGTTTCTCTTCAAGTTCCCTCTCATCTGAAGGCTGAGACACTTGTAGGCAAAGGTGAGATTCTCTGTTGAGAGGTTCATAGCTCTACACACTGCAGTCAGCCTCAGGCTGTGCCTGTACACTACGGAATGAAAGCTATATGGCTGCCAGTTGGCATTAATGACCGTGCAGTGAGAAGTCGCTTCCTTTTATTCACGGTGGTTAACAATACTTAAAATGCCAAATTTGGTTAAGTACCTTTCTTGCCCGAAAAATTAATAAACATCAGAAAATGGACAAAGCTGTCTTAGTTCAAGCCAAACCAGGCACCAAAGCTGAAGCAGACTGACAGTCCTGCTAACACATCTGCTGCCCAGATCCAGGGCCAAGTGTCTTTACTTGATGAAATGTGAAACAAAGATGTCAAAATTTAAATGCTCTAAGTAGAATTTGTCCCTGTGGTTGGTAATAATAAACAAGTGTTCACCAAGAATTTATATGGTTATTTTACAGAACAGCTTATGAAAGTCAAATAAAATCTCGGTGGATTTTGCTAGCACTGACACCAATTCACATTAAGCACTGAGGTTATTAAACTTCAAAAAGATACTATATGAAGATTATCTTCAGTATTAGTGAGAAATGTTGCACAAGAATAGACTAGACTTTTTACTTAGTGCAACATAATTTTTAACTCATTGTCAAATGAGTTTTGATGTAATCTCAGAATCTGACATCACATGATAAATGCAGTATAAAACAATTTATTGATAAATCAGCAATGTGTTACAAAACTTTAAATTTATATATACTTCCAGATACTTCTTGATTTATGACAGGGTTACAGCCTATTAAACACATTGTAAGTTGAAAGTGTTGTAAGTGAAAAGTGCATTCAACATACCTAATTTACTAAGTCTCTCAATTTAGCAGACTTAGCAATACAACTATCCACCGCAGGGTTTCAGATATTGTCCCATACCATCTCCCCACCTCAGGATCACTAAAAGCAGCTCCTTACCCTGGCCATCATTAGGAGGCAGGGTCTTACCATATCTCTAGTTTTAGTAAAGATCAGCATTAAAACCCTAAATTCAAAGTCAGTTCCTCCTGATTGTGAGTCACTTTCACACTCTCATAAAGTCCATCCATGCAAGTCAAGGACCATCTATCTGTGCACATAAACTAAAAACTAGGTAGAACAGAAGTAAGCTAAATCCAATGAAAGCAGGAAGTAGTTCATTTCTTAATTCATGAGGAAAGTCATGGTAGGGGTTTGGTTGGGAGTGCTGGCCTTGGCTGTATGAGGTTCTGGGTTCAATCCCCAGCACCATCAGAAAGAGGGAAAGGGAGGAAGGAGGGAGGAGGGAAGAAGGGAGGGAGAGAGAAAGGGAGGGAGGAGAAAAGAAAGGGAACTATGACCCCACTAATTCAAAGATTTCATTTTCACAGCCCCTAAGTTTTAGAACAGCGGGTGCTGGGTCTCCCACTCTCTCTCTTCTTCTTGTCTTAACTCCCTGGGTTACTCCTGTAAGACTTATTTCCTTCCTGTTTAACTTGACAAATTGCTATGAAATGTCTTCACTGCAGTGAATCTGGAGGAGTGTCTCAAGTCAGCCAGCCTAGTCCTGTCCAGCGACCCGGCCTTTAGAATTCTAGAAGATGGCACCATTTACACAACCCATGACCTACTTTTATCCTCTGAAAAGAAGAATTTCTCCATTTTACTCTCAGACAGTCAGAGGCAGGAGCAAAAGGAAATAGACATTGTGCTGTCAGCGAGAGACAAAAAGGTAAACCGGGCGAGGATGGAACGCCTTCTTTTCACGCTTGAGAACCAGACTGTTAAAGAGAGAGTTGTTTACACAGTTACATATTGATGACGAGGGTAGCCAAGGAGTGGGGTCAGAGTATCAAAGCTTTCAGATAGTGTTTTGAGGTGTGGCAGGAAGGACAGCCAATCTGCAGAACTAACTGTGGACTTGTGGCTCTCGTAACAGAGACCGGCTATCATCTTAGGAAACTCTAAGAGGTCCCTGTATGCAGCTTGTGATCAGGCTGCTTGATGGGTCTGAGTGTCCTCACCCTAAGTTCATTTTCTGGCACTGAAGGGTGATGAACCCTCGGAGGGAGAAGGTTGCTGGATTTTACACCTCACTTTAAATAACAGCATAGTGAGTTTAGTCTCATAAAGTTATTTATTAACTGACTCAATTTGTATATTTCCCAACTAAACTTCTTTTGATTACAAGCACTTCTTTTAACTGAGTTTGATGTATGTTTCATTCTTATAAAGCATTCTTTTTATCCCAGTTGTGAAGGATCATCACATTGCATAAAGCCTGTTTGAATAGACTCTGTGCTGTGACTATATGGAGGCACACAAATGCTTGCACTGTAGACAGAGCTTCAACAGACTTTAGTTGCTCCATTCTTTATGAAATAAAATCAATTCTTAAATATTCTCTAATGGCTAATCTATAATTGAGGGGGTCTGTAGCTTCTCAAGGACATTTATCCCAATATCCAACCTATTTCTGATTGCTGATTGGTTACATCAGGGAATACATGCAGTGTGAGCATGTGTTATTACTGAAAAAACAAAATGCTCTGGAGATTACCCATGGTATTAACATGCAGCAATCTCACTTATTTCCTCCATGTTGAAGTTATGTACAAGTCACAGTTCCAAGAACGCTAATCAATGCTCTATTTCTTAATTTCTCATCAAATGTAGGTTCTGATGAAGAGGCATACCAAAGACCAAGTCCACAGGCGCAGTAAGAGGAGGTGGGCTCCTATTCCTTGTTCACTGATGGAGAATTCACTAGGCCCATTTCCACAACACATTCAGCAGGTATGTTCTGTGATGTTCGGTTCATGTGTCATTGAACTTTCCAATTTGAAGGGTGTACATAGGGCTGGGGATGTAGCTCCGTGCCAGAGAGTTTTCCTAGGAGGCACGAGATCCTAAATTCTATTGCAGAAAATAAATAAATAAAGCACATTATATTGAATTAGGGGCTTATTAATAGCTTTACTAGCATCTATTTTCCACAGCTAGAAACATATGGGGACAGCCCAATAGGTTTTACCATTTACCTCCAGAAATAATATTTGTATTTAACACTTAGAACTAAAATTTATAGTTTGAATTTCTTCTGTCCTTTAATTTGACTCAGAATTCACCCAAATACTGTGCTAGGATTTAATTTTTATCCTTTTAAGTTTTTTAACGTTTCATTTATTTATCTGTTGGGGGCACACATTTGGAGGTCAGAGCACAGCTAAAGGAGGTCGGGTCTCTTCTAGCATGTGGGTTCCAGGAATCGAATTCAGGTCCTCATATTTGGAAGCAATCACATTTCCCTGCTAAGCTCTTTGCTAGACTGTTAGCGCTCATTTACAAATCTACAGATTTTGCACAGCTCAGTTCTGTTTTAAATTAGTACTTACCTCTAAAACCTGTCCCCTTTTTCTGCTTTCCAGGTGAGGTTGACTCATTGGTACACAGCTGGACTGGAACTGTAGGGCAGTTTTGGAAAAATTAAAGTTTTGAAGAATAAACTGTAAGAAAAATTGTATTTCTTTAGCAGAAAATCATACAGTTTTCAATCCCAAATAATCCAAAATCACTGTAAACTTTTCTGTATTCTCAATATAGGAACAAGTGGCTAGAGATTATAAAGGCATGTTACTCTGCAAATTTTATAGCTCAGCACGTATGATAATAAAACATTTAGGATCAAACAAGGGACAGAGTCTGTAGCTTTACACATTGCAGATGCAAATAAGACTGAACGATGTGGGAGATGCTGGGCACAGAAACAGAGGAAAGAGAGCAAGTGATGGGCTGGAGAGATGGCTCAGTGGCTAAGAGCACTGACTGCTATTGCAGAAGACATGGGTTCAATTCCTAGCATCCACATGGTGGCTAACAACCATCAATAATTCTAGTTCTAGGGGATCCAATGCCCTCTTTTGGCTTCCGTGGTCATTCCATGTATTGTGCACATACATACATGCAGACAAAACACTCATACACATAAAATAAAAATAAATAAATAAAATAATAAGAGCAAGTGACAGAAAAACAAATTGTCACAAGAGGCTCCGTTAAGATATCTGTCATGATGTCTTCGTTCTTTCTCCAAATTATGCCTTGTTGTTATAGATCCAATCTGATGCTGCCCAGAATTATACCATCTTTTACTCCATCAGTGGACCAGGAGTGGACAAAGAGCCCTTCAACTTGTTCTATATAGAAAAAGATACCGGGGATATCTACTGTACACGCAGCATTGACCGTGAGCAATATGACCAGTTTTTGGTAAGAGTACTGAAATATTTAATCAATATTAGATCATTATTATTCATCTAATACTTTAAACATTTTTTGCAAATATTAGTGTCAAATATTTCATTTAGTATTTAGAATATTATTAATATTTAATATGAACTTTGAATTTCCATTGGTAGAGTTCATAAAGAGAAATAAATACAATAAGGGAAGTTTAAGTGTGTGTAAGGAGCATCCTGAAAATATAATGACATGATTTTAAAAGGAAGATTTTTATCTGTAAAAATCTGGAAAGAAACTTTTATTGAGTTCAAAGTTTTCTGTAACAAAATGCCTCAATTATTGTCAGCCTTGCCTCTATGTTGTAAAACACATGAGCTCTAAAAAATCAAGATAAATAAAACTGGTACTTGGCCCATGCCCAAGAAGTCTGAGCCAGGCTTGGTCATCCACAGGCTGCTGAATGTGGCTCTTGCTGGTTGAAGCCGCTCTGTCAGGTTTTGTACGGCATATGCTTCTTTTCTCTCCCTCTCTCTTTTCTTCAGAAATTCAATCCTCGAGTACCATTTTATTTTCTTAGCAATCTAGAAGTTATTTACCAATCCATCTCACTCTTCTACCTGAAGAAAAAAATTCACATATCTCCTTAGCATTGTAACATTTAATCTGATGTACAAGAGGAATTCACATTGGTTTTAGGGCATGATGGTGAATGATACTAATTAAATTCTTACTATCTGGAATTGTGAGGGACAAGTGAGGGTGACGAGCGAGCTTAATAGAAAGAAGATAATCTAGAGAATAGTCTTAGGAGACATCTGAAAGTTTAGCAGGAATTGGTGACCACATAAAGTCAACTGTGAAAGAAGTTACTGTTTGGGGAGGAGGCATAGAGAGTTTCCAGGAAGATGCATCTGTAATAGAATGATCTGCTTGGAGCCAGGGTTGCTGGCACGGGCTTGTGATCCCAGCACTGGGGAGGGGAGATGGAGACAGGAAGATTCTAAACTCAAGGTCAGTCTGGGCCATTTAGTAAGATAACAAGGAAAGAAACAAAAAGGAGAGGAAGGAAAGGGGCGGGAGGAGAAAAGAGAAGAAGCAGGAGGGGAGGGGAGGGCAAGAGAAGAAGCAGGA